CACCAAACCCTACTGAAGTTCGGTGTAGGATCTGGCCTTTTCCCGGTAGCTGCGAGGAGGGGGCTGCCTCTGAGACAGGGCCGCATGGGTGGGGGCTGCCGTGGCTGGCTGGCCTTAGGGCGCCCAGGCAGCTGAGGGGAGCTGCTGCGGAGTCCGCGCAGCCTCCCCGAGCCCCGCGGGGCGCTCCCTGAGGGAGGGCAGCGGCGCAGAGCCGGCAGGAGGGCAGCGCCGCCATTCCGGTCTCTACTGCTGCTCCACGCCCGCCAGGGGGCGGCCTCCGCCGAGGGCCACACCACGCGACAGGGGCCGCGCGGCGGGAGCCCGGTACCGGACGGGTGGCAACGCCGCTGGGAATCGTCCTTCGCGGACTGCCGCGCCGTTCTGTCGTGTCCGTTCCCTGTCCGTCCTGCGGGGAAGACACCTAGGCGGGCGGCGGCGCCCGGGGGAGTGGAGGTAAGGCGGGGGCGGCTGCGGGGGGTGGGGTCGGGTCGGGACAGCACGGGTAGAGGTTGGTCTGTGTGAGGGGAGGGCTCGGTCCCTGTGCGGGGAGAGGTCGGTCCCACCGCCCCACGAACTTCCCGCTGTGAGCGGGTTGCCGACTGCGACGCGCAGCCAGCGCTGCCGCCGCGCGCCCGTTCCCCGTCCGCCTCAGCTCCAGTGGAGGTGTCGTTCTCCGCCGCCCCAGCTCCTCCCAGGCCAAACGCAGGGCTCGGCCACTGCCCGCCCCTGCCGGGAGGTTCTCTAGCTACCCGCGCTTGTCGTGCCCCGCCGGCCAGGGCCTTCGCCTTCGGATGTAGGGGAGGGACCCCTGTACCCCCGAAACGGCAGGTGTGCGCTTGCGTCCTTGTGGCTCCCTGGTAACCAACAATGTAGGTACAGCAGTTGACCGGCCAGCAGTCCTTGTAAAGGTCCTGCAGGCTTCCCCCCTCCCGGGGCTACCCACTTCGCCTTGTCTCCAAAAGGTGGGTCCCTCTGTGCTTTCCTGCAGAGCTTTGCTCGCCGAGCTGTTGGTCCCTAGGGCTGGTGCTGTATGAAGGGTGCCTGGAAACTATCAGATCCAGGCGTACCTGGGCAGGACGCGGGGGTGCCTGCTGCCCGCCGTGTCAGGCGCTGAGCGGCGAGCGTGCACCAGGGTCAAGAGAGAAAGCAGGAGGCAAGTACTCGTCAGACTGAGGTTTGGGTTGTATTTCCCCCTTTATTTAAACCCGGTATGGTGTCCCCCTGCCAGCCCATCGTCCTGCTGCTGCCTTTCTGCACCGTGCTCTGACGGTGGTGAGATCCAGAGCCCTGTCAGACGGTCCTGTCGTACCCGTGTTGAGCAAAGGGATGGGAGTTTGTCTTCTGCCATGGCAAACGCTGAGGCACAGCACGTTAAAACCAGCAATTTTGCTTCAGTTCTTTAATGCTGAGGCTGAATTTGGTGTTTTAAGAAAGTTGGCATGCAGCTAATCTGCCAGGTCTTTCAGTTGTGGGGAGACAGGCTCAGGGTGCTGGATTTTGCTTTTAGTTTGAAGGGTTGCTCAGTGAAAAATGGTTTGTGTTAAACTCCTTGTCCATTTGTGGAATGCAGGATTTGAAATTTCTGCAGGCATCACAAAGTGACAACCTGAGAGCTGGTCTTGAGAGGCTGGCTCTAGGCTGGTTATGGAGAACTGAGTCATTGCCGCTGGAAGGACCAGCAAACAGAGGTACCTGCAGTTGGCTTAAAACAGAATGGCTGCGGTGCAACTGCAGAGTGGTCCTCGCTGGCAGAGGCTTCCGGAGAGTCCTGCCTGAGGCTGATTGTCATCTAGCACCACTGATGCCAGCTAACCTTTAAAGGTGTAGAGGCCTTCCTGCTTCTACTCGATGGTCAGATCAACCTGTTCTGGGGCTGGTTGTGGACACTTCTCATAAACAAAATGTTCTAATTGATGCAGAGGTGTGTCCTAAACCATGATTAACAGATGGATAGAGGGTGATTGAGGATCCTTCCCACCTTTGCTTAGATTGCAGTGATTTCTCATACAAACAACATGTTTCTGTTCTCTAAAACATTTAATTGTCTTTTTACACACAAATATAATTTGTACATAATGAGGGAGACTCATGAGAAAATATTCTGGGCATTCTCAGTCTGGAGAGTTTGTGGGCCAGGTGCATTGCCGTAGCTAGATGGGGAGCCTGTTACCTCCTCTTCCACCATGGCAAAGCATGTTATTCAGCATGTGCAGATTCTGACTGGACCAACATTTGTGATAGTTTTGCTTCTTTGCTCTGTGGGGTAGACAAAAGAGCATTCCTGGCACCTAAAAAGAAGGGAGGAAACTGTTCTTTTGTAACAGAGAAAGAACACATCTCAAAGCATATCTCAAAGAACAGGGCAGGGGAGAAAGAAGAGCAGCACAAAGTAGACAGGGTATAGTTAAGTAATACTGCATTCCAGAAAGTGCTAAAAAGCAGGAGATGAATGCAGAGCAGTGTGATGTTGTTTGGCATCAAGCAGTTTGGCATGATGATTTAATGCTGTTTGCCACCGTACTGGTGTAATAGCTGGTGCTGCTTAAAGTGCATTAGTGGGTGATGTGAAACTTGGGACTGGACCAAACCACTTAAGCTCCTTTGCTGATATTTCTCTCACTATAAATGTTTCTTTATCAACTGTCAGCTAAGTACTCGTCATCGTTTGAGATCCCTGAGGAAGGTACTGTGTTTTGGAACGGAAACTGAAAGCAGCAGAGAGGGCCAGGCACCCTGGAAAGATGGATCACAGTTATTTGGAATAACAGTTGTTTAAAAATGTATCGGAAAAAATGCAGTGCTATTCTTTGTTTAATATTCAGTCTTTATCATGAGTCAGGTAAACTGAGGTCTGGAATAGTTTATAGATGGAGCACAATGTTTTTAAGTTTCTGGTTCAGGATTATCTCAGGATTAGATGCTTCAGTAGTACCTATGACAGACATGAGTCTTGTGAGCCCCTTGTGAGACAGGGGCTTAGGCTTGTGCAGGTGAGATGGATACAGCTGAAATAAGTAAAATATAACCAGAGTTTTAACTACTGTACAATTAAATTTACTTCTAGAAAAATTAGTATCTTACTACTGCAATAAGCTTATTTGGTGATGGGTAATTAGTACATTAGCATACTAAAGAAAAAAAACTTTTGGACGAACTGCAGGTATGGTTGAAGATCAGTTGTACACAAAGTAACCAAGAGGCTCTTTAAAAAAAGTTTGTACTGGATAACAGTAAGAGAGGAGGTTTTGCTCACTGTTCTCCTGTAGCTTTATTCAGTCTTGCTGCCACACTCTCCTTTCTCTTTTGTGGTGGTTGTCATATGCAGTGGTAAGCTTTAGTTTAAATCTTCACCTTTACAAAAGTATGGATTTTGTTATTGGTTTTGTTTGGATAATTTCCTTTTGGTCTGGTGAGCTAAGGAAAAGGTTCAACAATGTCCTGGGTTGGGGCAGTCTCAAGCACAACTACAGCCTGCATGAAGAACAGATTTGAGAACAGCCCAGAGGAGAAAGACTTGGGGGTCTTGGTTGATGAGAAGATCAACATGAGCCGGCAGTGTATGCTTGCAGTCCAGAAAGCCACCCGTACCCTGGGCTGCATCAAAAGGAGCATGACCAGCAGGTCAAGGGAGGTCATCCTGCCCCATTGCTCTTGTTGTCACGACACACTACCTGCAGTCCTTAGCTCGGCCTCAAACACAAAAGGAATGTGGACCTGTTGGAGTGAGTCCAGAGGAAGGCCATGAAGATGATCAGAGGTCTGGAGCACTTCTCCAGATAAGGCAGGCTGAGAGAGCTGGGATTGCTCAGCCTAGAGAAGAGGAGGCACCTGGGAGACCTTAGAGCAGCTTCCAGTACCTGAAAGAGGCCTACAGGAAATCTGGAGACGGGACTGTTTACAGGGCATGTAGTGACAGGACAAGGGGGAATGGCTTTAACCTGAAGGTGTGTATATTAAAATTAGAAATAAGGAAGAAGTTCTGTACTGTGAGGGTGGTAAGGCCCTGGCACAGGTTGTTGAGAGAGGTTGTGGCTACCCCATCCCTGGCAGTGTTCAAGGCCAGGTTGGACAGAGCTTTGAGCAACCTAGTGTAGTAATGTGCAGTTTATTCAGTTACCTGGTAACAGAGGACCTCGCCTGTCTTAAAAACAAGTCTTTCCCCATTGTTGTGAGCATTGGTTTTGGATTTTTTTATTTTTTTTTTTTTGTGGTTTTACACTTATTACCATTTTGGGGTACAAAAAATATAAATTAAGATATAGCTATCATAATTATGCAGCTCTCAAGTTTTAAAAGAAATGTGCACACGTAGATGAGTGCAGTCTCTGAATCAGGGACTGGAGGTAAAGCAGCTCAGAAAGGCTTGACGCCAGCCCTTGACTGGATGGTACCCTTAGTGTGCTGAAACCAGTGAAGTGCAGCTGAGAGCTGTAAGAAATGAAGTTCCATCTTATTTCTCATCCTTTGGTCGTGTAGTTGTATTCCAGCTCTAAATTTTGGGAGGACTTCAATTTGTCTTTTCCATCTCACAACTGTCTGTATTTCAAAGCAATCCAACCTTTCACTGACCAGCACAACATGGTTCAACTGCTAGCAGTGAATGTTTCAGGTGGTGCTTCCCCAAAAAATATGGGGTTTCGTTTTTTCTTTTTCTACCCAGGAACATACTCAAGAAACTGTCCACTTTTGTAGTCACTTGTTTTTTCTTAAAAGAATTTTTAAGTGACTTTGAATCTCTGTACTAAGAGTCTTAGAATACCATTTTTACTTTCTTATTTTACTTCCTGTCCCCTCCCCCTTTCTTCTTGATGGAAGTACCCACTGACATGGTAACAGAGCGCTTGATAAGGTAGTTGTTGAAATAGTGTGTATCCACAGTGGTATCAAAAATAATATAGAAAAAACTTGGACAAATAGACATGGGCTTGTTTCTTTGGATCTGCAGTTACAGTACTCAAAAAAAGTTGAAAAAAAAGACACAAACAACAAATAAAGGTTAACTGTGAAAGCTGTTACATGTGGCAACAGTCATGTAGAATTTTTCATAGAAATTTGCAGTACTTAATTTCTAGACACTGCTTTAAGGCAAAAGGTCGAGATTTGAAGTTTTTTGACTTCAAATAGTAAAAGACCATATTCAGTGTCAGCCAATGCAGCTCTTTCCACAGGAATTGAAAGTTGCATATGTATTCCCATTTTTAACACTGAATTCCAGACAGGGAATGTGAAAATAATATTGTCCATAATAACTTCTTTTTTCTTTTACGATATATAATTAGCTTGTAAAAGCAAAATTTTTCGCAGAAAACTGCTGCAGAAAATATATGGACCCAGTCAGAGATCAGTATGATCAGACAAAAGCCATTTACTACAAAGCCTTAACCCCTTATATACTGTTTCTTACATGCACTTACAATTATAATTGGATACATATCTTGAAGACCCTTAGTGAC